TTTGTTCTATGGTGACTTTTATAAATGAGAGATTTCCAAAAAATCATGTTGGTCAGCCCTGCTTAGGGTTGTTGCTTCCTTAACTGAGGGCTTTTGCAGACTGCCAGAAATAGTGCACTTTAAATTGAGGCACTGCCCTGGCTCAGTGCTAGGGAATCATGGGAACTGTAATTTATTGTGGCACTAGAGCTCTCTGACAGAGAAGGCTCAATGTCTCAGAAAAAAATGCAATTCCCATGATTCCCTAGCACTGAGCCAGGGCAGTGCCTCAATTTAAAGTGCACTATTTCTGGCAGTCTGCAAAGGCCCTGAGTCAATTCATTTATAACTGGGTGTTCTTTTTCCTACTGCCTTCAGCTTTTCCCAGCATAAGTGCCTTTCCCAGTGAGTCATACTTTTAATATGTCATGTGCCCAGGATTGGCTGGTTTAAACCAAATTACTTTTTAAAAAACTCTTTTTTTTTTTAAGGCTGGCTATTGTTACTATTTTCCACCCCTCTTACTGGAACAATAACTGTTTGAATTTAAACGTTTTAACATATTATTGGCAGTTGTTCATTCTTAGGCTATTATCAAGTCTCAGTTGCTTCTTTTTAATCACTTTCTCTTATAGTGCAAGGAATTACATTCAGAAACAAATCCTTCAGTTAATATAAGTTCAATCAAAACAACTTGGAGAGTATGTTGTATACTTTATTATGTATTTGTTGTTGTGTGCCTTCAAGTAATTTCCAATTTATGGTCACCCTAAGGCTATCATGGGGTTTTCTTAGTATATTTTGTTTAGAGACAGCTTGCCATTGCCACCCTCTGAGGTTGAGAGAGTGTAACTTGCCAGGGTCACCCAGTGGGTTTTGATGGCCAAGCCCGGATTCAAATCCTGGTCTCCAGAGTCATAGTCCAAGGCTCAAACCACTACACCACTCTGGCTCTTATTATGTATATTCTACATATATTCAGATTTAATAGGAATAGTAAGCAGTAAACAATTGGGGTTTTATTGAAAGATGTAAATCATATCTTAGCTTAATAACTTTGGATTGTTAATGTTAGAAAGCATTAAAACATGGTTGATCAAGCTTTCTAAGACATAAAACTTCCAATTCTATGATTCTATTCTATGATTCTATGAAAATAATGTTTCACAATATTAATATAAGGATTATTTTTCCCCCATTAAAATATGAATGCAAAAAACCTGGTTTCAACCAAAAATACCATTTTGGGTTTTTCCCAGCAGTGCCTGTGCCCTTGAACCATCAACTTTTTGCTCTGACTTTTCAGCCCATAAGGATCCTCAGGACAGTTTCCATAAAAGGCAATTACATTGAGGCTTCTTCACTTGTTTCAGATACATAGCAGTGTTGTGTGGTGGCATCCCAATTCCAAATCCAGTTTTCATGAGGCTGCTAAAGCTATTCATCACCAAGCAGACTTATAATTTAAACTCGTGTTTGCATTCTGATTGTATATGGAACAAAGCCCACTAAATGGAAGATACAGAGTTGAAGAGAGACATATTTCACCATTTAGGGGAGCATCTCTGCTAAATATATTGTCTGGTTTAACCTGGAGATAATTAGTGGTCTAGGGCCAATGTGCTGT